CGTGCGTCGAAATTAAAAAATTTGGTGAAAAATTGCAGTTTTTGGCTTCAGAACAGTCTAAAGACAGGGAAAAAATAGGGCCTTAATAGGGTACTTACCGCTCTACAACGGGAATATATTGGCCATGCTAAACTCCGCCTCCAGTGGGCGGGGCGTGCGTCAAAAATCGAAATTTCGTGAAAAAATTGCAGTTTTTGGCTTCGGAACAGTCTAAAGACAGGGAAAAAATAAGGCCTTAATAGGTACTTACCGCTCTACAACGGGAATATGTTGGCCATAAAAAACTCCACCCCAAAAGGGCGGGGCGTGCGTCAAAAATCGAAATTTCGTTGAAAAATTGCAGTTTTTGGCTTCGGAACAGTCTAAAGACAGGGAAAAAATAAGGCCTTAATATAGAAGGAACTTACCGAGGGTATTTACCGCTCGAAACATACGAGGGAATATATTGGCCATACTAAACTCATCGCTCCGGTGCGACTCGTTGGTTCAATCCGGGGAATGAACCGGGCCAAATAAGGCGGCGATAGAAAGCCGCTTAAGAAGATGAAAAACAGAGAAACACATTGATATTAAAGTTTCTTCAAGAAGAGAATCGATAGAGAAAAAAAAAAATGGCAGAATCTGTATCGTCCAGAAATACACGATACAAAAAATAACTCACATTTGCGGTAGGATGGAGATGTTGAATAGACCATAGATCACCCCCTATCATTCGGTACTATGATATAACAATTCGACCAGAGTTTAGCTCTGAAATATCACTAGATCAGCCGTTATCCACAAAATAAATTCGACCCAAGCTGCTCTCCTACATGTTTATAATTTCTTTCCCTTCAAGGAATCAGACTTAGAGGGCGTGGAAGTTCAGAAGTTTGAAATTTGGTGAGTATGAGCCAAAGTGTAGCAGATGGATCGCCAGGGGTTACATAAGTGGCGAATTTAGACGACTGAACGCTATTGCCCTATCGCTATCGATATACCTGTTTTCCATAGTTTTGCTTCGCTCTACGATCACTCAGTCGCACCTTCAATTACGCACCCCACTTTTCCTCTCTAGACACCCAGGCAATCGAGCGAGTGGCGGGCGAATATAACTGTTGTTTGAAACGGGAAAATCTTCGGAAGTTGGATTGGACTTTCGCGACTGTTACTAGACTTCTCTCTCTCGCCCACAACTATCTATCTCCAAAAATCCGGAGGTGAGGCTGTACGTGGGATGGACGGAGTAGATGGGGTTCGTTTTTGGCCGCGTAGTTCAAGGAGATATGCGCTGCAGTAAAACGATGCACTTGAATTTTCTCGCTTATTTGCTCGCAAATAACTATCTCCCATTTCTTCAATCCTCAGTGTGCTTCCATCATTCATGCGGATTACCCACACTCCTAAATTACGGCTCCCATACGAGATCCGCACTAACATAACAATTCTTGTTGCGGTTAAAGTTTCGCTGATTCTTGTGACCACAAGATAGTCTGACTGTGGAGCAACCAAAACTCTCGGGCGCTTCTTGAGGTAGTCGTGCGAGACAGCCTAAACTGTAATATTATTGTTAATTTGTGGCGGTGATTTTTTGTTGCGTCTGCATGTGCCAGTGTTTGGACAGAGTCAGTTCATGCTCTCCTCACTTTCAGTAGTTGGGCGTTTTTCTGTTTTCGCCCGACGCATTTTTAGGGAATTTTTAGTGTTAATGGTCTTCCCAGGCGGGGGGGAATTGTCCACTATTCAAAAGTTTCCCATTCTGATAGAAATTTCAATAATCGGAGGCTTAAAGCGGGCGGAAGGCGATTTCGACGTATTCCTATTCTCAAAACAATTTCTCCTCCAAGAATTGTGTCGAGGAGCGGAGAATTTGTAGTTTATTAGATATCCCCCACAAGTCATCCACTCACCGCAGCCATCTCTCGCGCTCGGTTTCGTGCGCAGCCCAACTGGTGTCACCTAATTGCATGCATAAAAGTTTCGTTCGCGTGAAACAACAGCATGACGGCACGTCAATTGTATAGGCGGGAAGCATGTGGGAGTGGGAGGCCTTTATCTGCCAACTTGTGTGGGATTTTCCAGTTTCCATCAAAAGAGAAAAGCAGTTCTTTACGCACGCTGAGAGCAAAATATTTCTTATTGCGACTAGTGGAAAAGCTGTTATCCGCAATCGACTATGCATGAAATGCTATGTTCAGCGTTCATTTTTTTTACTTTTTCTGAGTAGGAGAATTTTATGCGCACTACCACAAATATCCATGCGAACATCTCGAAAGTATGAATAAAGACCAGATGAATCTGTTCTTATTATTTTCTCTCATCACGAGTTCTACCCGTAGTCATTCAATCGAAAACAGGGTGCCAACGATAGCGGAACTAGCCGTGAGAGTACTGTAATCGCCTGCTGTACGCAATCGCACGGGCGCAGGGTGGGATAAATACGTAACATCCCATAGCTGAGGCCCTGCAAGCGATTGCGCAATCGCTTGCAAAGTGCACAAGCGACGGGCAATGGCTCTGCTCGATCGATACCGCAGCCGACTGCATTGACTGGGGGCGGGGCCAATCGCCCGTCGCTTGTGCACATTGCGCAATCGCTTGCCAATCGCTCGACCGAGAGCGATTGGCAAGCGACGGATCATCGCGTCCGTCGCCGACTATGACGTCGGTCTGAAGGACACTCGAAATAAACGATTTTGCGTATCTGCGAAGTTAATCAAATGCATATCGATTCACGAAATGGGATGGGCTTCGGATCCTGGATTCGAGTTTCCGAACCCCTCTAGCGCTTTCGAATCCTCAACGCGAAACGCTAGGAGGGCGGAGTTGGTTACTCCGATCACCTGTATCACCTGTCGTCCCGTTGATCATCGAAATTGCTCGAGCGGGCGCCAGCAACGTCTCCATTCGTCCCTGTCGCGTGCAAGAGTTGTCCAGTGGATCCTCGCTCGAGGGACACGAAGTCCTTCATTCCTTTCGTTCAGAGCTTTCGTGAAGAAGTCTGACCATCGGGCCGGCGGTCGTCCAGGTGTTCGTTTGACGTCCCGAGGGATCCAGTCGGTAACCGCTCTGGTCCAACGGTCATCGCAAAATCGCATGACGTGTCCGGCCCACCTTATCTTCGATTCCTTGGCGAAAACGGCAGCGTCCCTGATCTTCGATCGTTGGCGTAGTTCGGCAACTCCGGATTCCCCTCTGCACTTGCGTGTATAGGGTTACTCCTAGCATCGTCCTCTCGACAGCGCGTTGGATAACGCTGACCGCATGCTCGTCCTGCCTGCGCAGAGTCTGAGGCGTAGGTTAGGGCAGGAAGGACAGCGGAATCGAAGAGGTGGGCACGGAGCCGGATGTTCTTCGTCTTCTTCTACTCCCTCGATGTTCTTGTACGCTCCCCAAGCCGCTCGTTTCCTCCTGCTCAGCTCTGGAGCTAGATCGTTCATCATATTGATTTCCCGACCTAGGTACACGTAGCTGGAGCATTCGGTGATGTTCGTTCCGTTGAGCGTGAATGGGGCATCAGGAACCAATCCGTTTCTCATAAACATCGTCTTCGTTAGGTTCAGCTGTAGACCAACCTTACCACAGGCGCAGTCGAAATCAGCCAGCATTCGCTCCGCTTGCTCGATGTTCGGCGTTATAAGAACGATGTCGTCAGCAAAACGAAAGGTGGTGTAGTTGCCGGCCGTCGACCTTCACTCCCATGTCTTCCCATTCCAGTTGACGCATGACGTTCTCGAGAGCGGCGCTGAAGAGTTTGGGCGAGATGGTGTCGCCCTGTCGGACCCCTCTCTTGACGTCGATGATGACCTCCTTGTAGAATGGTGAGATTCTGGTCGTAAAGTTGCTGTAGAGCTCACGAAGAATCTTGATGTACTGAGTAGGGACGCCCCTGGTTGCCCAAGGCTTCGATGACCGCTTCTGTCTCCACAGAGTCGAAGGCCTTCTTCAAGTCGATGAACGTGAGACAAAGCGGCATCTTGTACTCTCGTGAAACTTCAATGGATATGGTCGATCGTGCTGAACCCTCTTCGAAACCCTGCTTGCTCGCATGGCTGTCCTTCATCTAGTATTCTGCCGATCCTGTTAAGGATGACTCGAGTGAATAGCTTGTAGATTACAGACAGCAGGCAGATTGGGCGATAGTTGCCAATGTCGTCCAAGTCTCCCTTCTTGTACAGCAACACGGTCCTGCTGGTTTTCCACGGAGTGGGTACCTTGCATTCCGACAGGTAGCGCGTGGGTTACTTCGATACGCATCTAAACCTTCTCGCGGATCGCATCCAAGCCGCAGCTTTCCGTGGTTGATGCGTGTGTTATTGCAACTTCGTTGCAATTTTGATCACAATGTGAGGTCGCTCAATATTTCCGACCCACTACGCACAAAAAAACAAGGCATTGTCAATGGCAAAATACGTGCCGTCAACAAAAAAGGTGTCGGTCAATAATGAACTCTTGAATTTTGCAACGTACGCAAGACCACACAAATAATGGAGGGTTCACTATCGACACGACAATTCTGATTTTTGAACCCTGACCCCGGGGAAGGGTATATAAACCCCCGCGGGTTCAACACGAGACACTTTTGCCCTTTTTTCCTCGCTCGACTACACTGGACATCTCTGCCTGGACGACGCCACACTTGGACTCTCTTTTTTGAGTTTCTTCGCGTCACTAGGATTCGCATCATTGACTTCTTCTGAGAGTAGCCGTCACTCCCGGTCTCGGCCTGACTTTCTGTGGATCGTTTCTGCTTATCACGCATAAGAGGTTTTTCTCAAGTCGTAATAAGTTTTGTTGCAGTTTTCTGAGTTCGCATAAATTGCTTAACTTATCGTGTTCTGGTAAAGTACCTATACTATACCGCGTGGCAAGTATCGCTATATAATTATTTTATTGGTGCATCGGCCAAACGCGACAAGGAAGAGGTTGGTTCAAAATTTAACGCATAAGTTTTTTGGTCGATCCGCATAAGTTTTTTGATTGGAATTTCGATTTTAAAAGTATTTGAAAAAAAAGAAAAGATGTCCACGAGTTCCGCACCCATTAGGCTTCGTTCGCAAAAAGGGCTCCTTACCCGTTATTGCAACAACTTGAATGAACTAATTACTAGGTGCGAGGGGGATAACGCATTGAAAATGCTTTCTTCGAGTTCCAATAGTGACGATTTTGAGCGCATAGCATCAATTGTGTATGAGCTTCAAGCCACAACGCGATTACTTAGCGACCACCTAGCGACATTTGTGAGTACGATCGATACATTGTTTGATTCGCTCACCAAGGAACAACAGGATCAGACCCTAGAGTACATAGAAAACGCACATATCGCTATTGATCGCGCTGATCGATTGGCTATTGAACTTGAAGCGAAACGCATTAGTGTACGGGAGGTGATCCATAATGATAGAACACCCACGCAAAGAACACATGGGCGAGGGATAGGGCAACTCGAAGCCACAGCGCCAAAGCTCCCCACCATACCCATACCCACATTCGATGGAAAAATATGGGAATACGACAATTTTTGGGCGCTCTTTCAAGACAACGTCCACAACCAACAATCGCTCACTGGGTTACAAAAATTCAACTACTTGCTAAACGCGCTTCGGGGAGAAGCTCGCGACTTAGTAAAGCGTTATCCAGTCACAGAGGATAACTATGGGCTGGCTATCGAACTGTTGAAGAAAAAATACGGTAACAAAGCGGAGCTTGTGAGGGTGCTACAAAAACGCTTGGATAATGCGAGGCCAGAAAAACCTTCAATTCAAGGGCAAAGAAAGCTGCTGGAATACATGATTCCACTAATCATGCAGCTACAAAAATTGGAAGTGAACCTAGATGGTTCATACAATACTCAAAAACTGCTATCAAAGTTTGCGCCTAGAATCCAACGCAAGGTCCTCGAGGACTTCGTGACGCAAGACATGTCAGAAAATGCATGGAAGATGCAAAGCATTGTTGATGCCTTAGACGCTCACATCGCGACAGAAGAGCGCATCAACAGCATGGTTAATGACGACCTGAATGGGGACACAGAACGCAGACAGGGCTTCAAACAGGGAAGCATGAGCAAAATATCTCATCACCAAAATTGCATGTTTTGTGGGTCACCAGAACATAGAACCGCGAGCTGTTCACGTTACAGCACTATCGCGGAAAGGCGGAATTTTTTGCAAGAGCACGGTATGTGCCTCAATTGTGGACGCGAAGGTCATTTCGCATCAAACTGCACAAAAGAAGGCTGTAGAAACTGCCAAGGGAAAAAGCACTTTCACGCATTATGTCCACAAAGACAAACTATGGTGACACAAACGAAACATTTTGCGCCCACAACACCAACTCCCTCATCATCAGCAACAAAAATGATAGGGCCTAAATCACAACCTACTTCAACAGCGAGGAACAATCGCAATTCTCAAACACAGAGATCCGCACAAGCACACCCAATCCAGGTTCGCACAACGAATGAACAGGAAAAGAATACGGTGCAAACTGATAACGATGATGACTTTACCATACTACATCAAACCACGCAAAGAGAAAATGTAGTCCTTCTTACCGGGGTGGCGCATATATGGAACACGAAAAGCCAAAAATGGCAATCGGTCTCAATTCTTTTTGACACGGGCGCCGATCAATCCTTCATCAGTCAGAATTTAACGGAAGACTTAGGACTGGAACAGGTAGAAGTGCGCAACTTAGAAATGTATACATTTGGAACGAAAGAGCCAAAATCTGCAGAATGCGCCGTGACACTGATAAAACTGTGTGACAACAAGGGAGAGGTGCATAACCTGCGCCTGTATTCGACATCAATTCTGACTGAAAAGGGTCAAATCACACAACTAAGTCAAGAAGATATGGAATTCATAGCAAACAGGGGTATACGCCTTTCCCACGCTATGACAACGACAACAATCAAACCACAAATACTTTTGGGTTGCGATCAGCTCTGGGACTTATTAGAAGTCTCCGCACAGCAGTATACACTTCCGTCGGGTTTGAGGCTTATACCTTCGAAACTGGGGTACCTTCTCTCAGGGAAACAACAACTGAATGGGCTTCACGCAGCTCATACAATGAACGTTCAACCCAGCATGATTACAATGATCAAAACTTTAACAGAAGAAGAAAGGGATTTGCAACGCTGGGACAAATATTGGACAATGGACTCAGCAGGGATATGTGAGTTCGCAGGCACAAGAGACGCCGAAAAAGCGGCAATTAACGAGAAGGTATCAAAATTTTTCGCTGATACAATTGAAAAAAGAAGTGATGGGTATTACGTACGCTTACCCTTCAAGGAAAATCACCCCCCACTGCCCAACAATAAAGCGATCGCAATGAAACGCCTTCACAGCGTTATAAGAATGCTCAAATCTCAACCTCAAATTTTGATAGACTATGACAACACATTCAAAACTCAACTTGAAAAAGAGATTATCGAAGAAGTCCCGGAGGGGGATTGTGGCGAAATGGGTATCACCCATTATATCCCACACCAACCGGTAATCACACCGAACAAAGAGACTACAAAGCTACGCATAGTATTCGATGCTTCATCGCATTTCAAAGATCGACCCTCTCTCAATGACGTCCTACATCAGGGACCATTGATTCTTCCCGACCTTTACGCAGTTCTTTTGCGCTTTCGAGTGTCGAAGTACGTGGTAACTTCGGACGTGGAAAAAGCATTCCTCCAAGTCCGATTACACGAAAAAGATAGGGATGTAACAAGGTTCTTCTGGGTCCGGGATTATAGCAAGGAACCCGAAGGTGATAATGTCATCACATACCGCTTCACAAGGGTCACTTTCGGACTCAACGTATCCCCATTCCTACTGGGAGCGACCATACAGTACCATTTACGCAACACGGTAACTGACACCAAGCTTGGAAATGAGATTCGCGAGAATTTGTATGTAGACAATCTTATATTGACTGCAGACACAAAAGATGATGCGATGCGCAAATCACTGAAGGCTAGGGAAATTTTCGCCGAAATGAACATGAACTTACGCGAATTCCTTTCCAATAGCAATGATATCACTAGAGTCCTGTCAGATGACGCATGCGCAAAATCCGCTATTCAGAAAATACTGGGCATCAAATGGAATAGTGAAGACGATACTCTCTTCATTCGCTGTGATATCCCCAAGACAACCAATCTAACAAAACGCATAGTAGCACGACAAATAGCATCCATATATGACCCCTTTGGATGGTTGGTACCATTACTTACGCAACTGAAACGATTTCAACAAGACCTTTGGAGGCACAGATACGCTTGGGACATGGTACTCCCACCACAAGTGCAGAAAGAGTGGGAAACACTGACATCCAACATTCATGGCTTTGAAAGGTCTTTCGAGAGAAGATTCATGAACGATGGTGATGGAAGCAGTCTAGCAATTTTTGCAGATGCAAGCGCCATCGCTATGTCCACATGCGCTTACCTTTTCAGAGGAAAAGACTCAGCCTTGGTTATGGCAAAATGTAAATTACCGTCTTTGCACTCGAACCCCACAATTCCAAAATTGGAAATGAATGCAATAACCATTGCTGTACGTTTGGCGCGCTCCATATTTGAAGCGCTCAAAGGTAACTTAGCTCAAAGGCCCTTCAACATCTATGTCTTCTCAGACTCGCAGATTGCTTTGTCATGGTTATCCACACCACCAAGCAGTACAAACGCTGGGGTATTAGTGAGTAACCGACTTAAGGAAATACGCAACATAGTGAGGACGCTCAACACCGCATCAGTCTCAGTTCATTTTCGCTTTGTAGAGACATCCGAAAACCCAGCCGACGCAGGGACGCGGGGTTTGACGAAAGAACAGCTATGGGAGCACATATGGTGGAAAGGGCCCAAATTCTTACGCATTCCAATCGAGGAGTGGCGTGGACCCATTTATGAACTCAAACTAGAAGACACAGGAGAAACCTTACCAGACCTAGGCATTATCAACGCAACAGCTGTGCACGTGAAACCCGTTGCAGTAGCTCCCTTATTAGATCTGAAAAGGTTCAGCTCATTCCAAAAAGCAAAAAGAGTTGCGGCGTTAACGCTGCTGATTCTCAAGAAGTTGATGAAACCATTACCCATAACTCGCCAAAGTGCTATTACCGACAACATTAAAGAACTCCGAGATTCCGCCGAGTCACTGAGCAATCTTAGCGGAAAGGCCATTGCAGCAGCAAAACGCATAATCATCCGAAACCATCAGATGGTGTACGATACAAATCAATATCGCAATAGCGTACAAAATACACTACGACTTTTCAAGAATAACGAAGGACTATGGTGTTCAAGAGGCAGGGTGGGAAATTCCGCTTTAAGCCATCGAGCGCAAAAAATCCCATATTTATCCATCCAAAAACTCCGCTAGCCTCTTTAATCATCAATGAAGCACACGGGGATTACCACCGCAGCATCGAACACACGATAGCAACAGTCCGATTACAATACTGGATCCCAAAACTGAGGCAGCAAGTCCGCCATACAGTAAAACACTGTGTCAGATGCCGCAGATTTAATGGCCTGCCATACGCCTATCCAGAAACCACAGATTTGCCGCAGAGACGTGTGAACCGAAGTCACGCTTTCCAACATGTAGGCATCGACTTCTTCGATTTACCCACGGTCGAAGAGGACGAAACGAAGTTAAAGACGTACGGATGCATCTTCACATGCACCGTGACAAGACTAATTCATTTGGAGCTAGTAAAAAGTATGGCGATTGGGGATTTCTTGAACGCACTAAGACGCTTTATTGCTCGCAGGGGTGTTCCAACTTCAATAACCAGTGACAACGCTCCTACGTTTTTATTGAGCGCAGAGATTCTAAACGCAGGAGCTGACCAAGCACAAGTCAACAGAGAAGTGCTAAATGTCACCTCGCAACAAGAGATCGAGTGGTACTGGAATACACCTTACGCACCTTGGCAAGGTGGATTTTATGAGCGCCTTATCAAGTCCATCAAGCACGCACTGTATAAATCGCTAAGAGTGAAGCCACATAGGTCAGTGGACGACCTAGAAACCATACTAGCGGAAATAGAGGCGTGCCTCAACTCACGACCGCTTACATACCAAAGCTCTGAACACGATGACTTGAGCTCAATTCGTCCGATAGACTTCATCCAACGAGACTTGAATCTCACGTTTCCCTATCGCTCTGAAGAAGGTTCAATGACTGACCCAGACTACATACCGCACGAGAAGATAATAGCGCTCAGAACAAGGAGGCAAACAGAAGAGGCACTGAAGTCCTCATGTGAATTCACTGAGTGCTTTTGGGATGCGTGGCAGAAACTTTACCTCACCAGCCTACGAGAAACGCATAAGCGCTTCATAACCAAACAACGGCATCATCAACTAGAACCAAAGGTCGGAACAGTCGTGCTTTTGAGCGACCCGATCTTACCCCGTAACTCTTGGAAAATGGCCCGCATAACCAATCTGCACCATAGTAAAGATGGACAAATCCGGGAAGTCGAATTAGTAACAGCAGCGAAACGGCGGATCAAGCGTCCAGTAAACCTCGTAGTGCCACTAGAAATCACTGACAACGACGAAAATCTATCAGAATCTGAACAATTACCAAACTCATCAGCAAACGCAGACATTCGACAAGAACAGAGACACTCCTACAACCTTCGGCCACGCAAACTAGTAAACTACGCAGAGCCGATAACCAACAACCTTACAATAGGGAGAATAGCTCCGCAAAAGTGGTTCCTTTTTCACATTATGCTGTTCTCGTTGATAGCAACAGCCTTCGGAGCAGGCACACAGAGCAACAAAGTGAAGTACACAACAAACGGAATCATACATAACGCATCAGAAAAAACAACCTTCAAAACTAGTACGGAGAAGTTGTGCAATCCAATCAAAGCCGCCAATGGCAATGACAGGATAGCTATTTCGATAGAGAGCTCTCGGCATGCTTACGCTATTCTTTCGAAGCGGAACCAACAAACCGTCTTAACAAACCCACGTTTGAAGGCATCGGTGTCCGCTATTTCCTATGTAGTTAGTGTGCTACCGCACACTATACGCCATGCACCTGCTACCATAGGGATCCCAAAAAATCCAACATTAGGAAGTTTCGTAGTACAAACTTATACCATGCTACAAGGGGTTGTAGTAACCAAGTTGTCAAGGGCAACTACAAATACGCGAAACAGAAGTCAATGCATGGCTTATAGTGTAGGCATAATGGCCCTTGGGACACGCCGTATACCCGCTGTCGCCAAGATTATGAAATTAAACGCATCAGCAGTCGATAGTGAGGAACGCATCAGTGTATCAGAGAACGTTTCATTGAAGCTAGCAGTGGGTCCCCAGCTTTACCCAGCCGGAAAACGGCGAAACTCCCCAGGGAACACTGAATTATTACGCTTGATCATATATAACTTCAAGAGAAAAGAACTTTGTACTATTCACTATGTAAATTATTTTCAGACAATGGTAATTCCCGACTCGGATTTCCGACGCAAATATCGTCGCCTGCGTCAAGCGATTCCGCAGCTGCCAAAACCGACTCAGCTGTACAAGAAGATTGTCCAGAGTTGTAGACATCTCCACGACACGACAGCCTCGACAAGGACGTTATTATCACGCATCGAGAACTTACGCAATTCTCAAGAGGATTGGAAAGAACGCTTAGCAGAACTTCAGATCGTCGAGACCTTGAGAGAGAAGACAGTGATGGAATTCATGTTGATCCGCACGGAACTGAGGACTTTGTTTAGCATTCCTCCTCTTCTGATGGCGCTGGACGGAGTCTCTGAGAGTAACTGGCGAGCCATCATCTCGCAACCGCAGTACGATCATCAAGGAAATACGATACTCACGAGGCAATCCGCAATCGAGGCCGTCATCGAAGATCAACTGAGAGTTCTGGATGAGGGACAAGCGCATCTAAACGAGTACCGCAGTCTCTTGCAGAAAGAAGATCGCAAAGAGTCACAACAATTCCAGTCGACGGTCCTTACGCTCTTGAACCTTGTACAAGAGACAATCAAAGAGGGACTCGAGAAAGCTACAGAAGACTCCACGAAAGCCATATGGACTGCGGTGCACGAGACAGCAAGCGCAACAAGAGAGATACTGACAGTGACATGCAGTGGAACCCAGACTAACTCTGCATTTCAAGATTGCGCCGGCGAGGGCATACGCATGAGTCAAGGTACCGTGTCTGAGGAAGACAGCAAGAGCCAAAGTTCCGAGGACGTACCGAACGCGCATGAGAGAGATGAGACCAGACGAATTCAGCAAAACGCCGAATTCATGGAAGGCGTACAAGAGATGGACGAGGAGGAGGACCTCGACTCCTCAAAATCTGGATGGTCGCAGAGGAAGGAAGCCCGATGGGAAATCAGGCAAGAGATACAACAGATCGAGGATGAGATAGAAAAGCTGGAGGCGGTCGTCTACGAGTTAGACATGGAACCCACCTGCGACCCCCGCGACTTCGCGAAAGGTCTCATACGCAAGAAAGAGGACAAGAAACTACCCTGTAGCTTCTGCGGCAGAGTCGGACACCACTACTCCGACTCCTGCGCTTCCTATACAAACTTTTGGGATAGGCGATACATTGCCAACGCACAGCAACTTTGCACAATCTGTCCTCACGTTTTCTACTGAAGGACATATTTGCAGGAGAATCACGGCCTGCTTCCACTGCGGAAAGTTCACACATCATTCGGCGCTGTGCGAATTGCCGGAGAGGAGCGAGGAGATCCGTCGCCGCTACGAGGAAGCCACGAGTCAAAGGAGGACTGCAAAGAAGAAATTGGAGGAACTGAAGCGCCGACTTCAGGATCTGGAGGAGAAGTGATCTAATAATGTTTTTGTTTGTTGTGTTATGTATTTTTAATCTGCTTCAGTACGAGTTCCATTACGAGTTATATTTATCGCATAACGAGTTCCTTTTTTTGCGCTAGGAGCATCAGGCCGCGCCCGGGAGTATTGCAACTTCGTTGCAATTTTGATCACAATGTGAGGTCGCTCAATATTTCCGACCCACTACGCACAAAAAACAAGGCATTGCCAATGGCAAAATACGTGCCGTCAACAAAAAAGGTGTCGGTCAATAATGAACTCTTGAATTTTGCAACGTACGCAAGACCACACAAATAATGGAGGGTTCACTATCGACACGACAATTCTGATTTTTGAACCCTGACCCCGGGGAAGGGTATATAAACCCCCGCGGGTTCAACACGAGACACTTTTGCCCTTTTTTCCTCGCTCGACTACACTGGACATCTCTGCCTGGACGACGCCACACTTGGACTCTCTTTTTTGAGTTTCTTCGCGTCACTAGGATTCGCATCATTGACTTCTTCTGAGAGTAGCCGTCACTCCCGGTCTCGGCCTGACTTTCTGTGGATCGTTTCTGCTTATCACGCATAAGAGGTTTTTCTCAAGTCGTAATAAGTTTTGTTGCAGTTTTCTGAGTTCGCATAAATTGCTTAACTTATCGTGTTCTGGTAAAGTACCTATACTATACCGCGTGGCAAGTATCGCTATATAATTATTTTATGCAACTTTCGATAGGGAACTTTTGTTATAAATATTGACCGATTTCCTTGGTCGAGGTTGGGGTGTGTTCGTGATCCTGCCACTATGACATCGATGGCTCTTATGTAGCTCCGATAATCGTAACCGATCATCTGCTCGTCCCCGGACGACAGCAAACGGACGCCTGACGACCCCATACATGTTCGGCTGCATCCGTGCCATACAGAAAATGTGCCGGAAAGGCAAAGGCAGGGTCGGTGGCCCAAGGTGTAAAGAACGTTCCTACTAAATAAATTTTTTGCCTTGCAGCGTAGTATTTTTGTTGAGATAGAGTTCTTCACTTAGATTTATTCCAGCAAGCCATCATGGAATAAGCTAGGGCGAATTAAAGTTGCTCAAGGTGGTAGGATATAGACCGGGTTAACAGGCTGCTTTTCACCCTACTTAAGTACCAGGAGAATAAATATATTATAGATCCAAAGAGATAATAGGCTGTGCAAATAGAAATATTCGGGACCAAAATTTTTTGCTACGATTGTTTTCAGGGACAACGACGAGGATTTCAGTGACATTTTCAAATTTTTGTGAGACAGACATGAAGAACTAAAAAGCACATAACAAAACATGACATGAGTTGTGTCTATAAATATGCACGTGACAGAACGTGTGAACTGCGAGAAGAAAACAGAAATATCATCAGTTCACTGAACTCCGCCGCGCAAGGTTTTTGGTCGAGGTGATTGGTCACGTTGAAATTCATGTTATTTTTTGCGGCCTTTTTTTTGGCAAGTCTTGCTTGAACGCTCCTTTATCTTATCATCTTTATGCAGAAGCTCGGTTTCTTCCTCCCGGCTGTGACGCTTACTTTCTTTCAACTACATGATCTTCTCCTGAACCTTCGGATTTTTCGGTCCTCTTCCAAGCTTCGCTGATTTTGTGATTGCTTGGTGCTATTATTTCATGACGAACTACGACAGGTTTCTTTTGGTGAATGCGCGATCCTCCTAGAGTCCCTTCGAATCGTCTAGATTTTCTTCTTTTCTTATGTTTTACCAAACGCTTCTTTGACTGGTTCATCGTTTTTCAGCTCTTCGCCTCTTGCCAACTACCTAACGAGTCAAAACCTTGGTCACAGGTTTCACCTCTGCTAGCTCTGTTTTGTTTGACATTCAGGCTCACCGGCACTCTTAATTTCAATTTAAAGAAACATCGTCCTGGATGTAAACGCACGGATGTCGTTCAACATTAGTTGAAGAACCCACTTTTTGAATCCGCTGCGGAGATTGCGAACCTCATGCTCTCTTCCACCTACACACATGCAAGTTAATCACCGACTTTGCGCTTTCGATTTCTTTTCGAACCGCTTGCCATTTTCTTGAGCTTCTTACTGACGACCTGTTTTGTGGCTATGGAATTGCCGCGCGCGCATTTCGGTGGTAGAATACTCGAGACCTTGCCAGTAATGGGTTTGCTTCGGATAGGTCTTATTGCTCGCTGCCCGCGGGTCTTTTTCCGTAGGCGGGTGACCAGTGGAGCCGTCTTTTGAACCTTGCGGAGTGTCAGCTTAAAGGCAAAAGTCAGGCTCGTGTTTCGGCATTATGGCGCCTGATATTGAGTTTAGAGATGGGAGGTGGAACGATAGTGAAGAAAAAACGAAAAGAAACCGTCGACAAGACCGAAATCGAAACCCCTTCCTTCTAGCAGTGAAGGAGGCTTGCTCGGGGGAGAGCCACGTCCAAACGAGTTTTCCGGATATGCCAGCCGTTCCATCGGTTGATACGGCAATCAACCTAGCTGATCTCACACGTTAGGCCAGCCACGCACCACACGCCCACCACATCCACATCTGTGCTGCCGGAAATTCTCGCAGCACGGCAGCACACAATGCAAGGCCCTAGCGCCTTTGCCGCGCACTTCTTTGTCGCGACAGCCTCACACCCCCTCTGCTTGGAGACCCCACTTTTGCACCCTATAAAGGACTTTCCTAATGTTCCCTAATCCTGACTCGTGGCTTTAAGCTAGGGTAACTAAACTTCATATGCATATCACATAAATAATTTTACCTCAACTTGGAAGAGGTTAGAAAGGGAGAGAAGTTACTGTAAATATGAGCCAGACTGGAGAAAACTGGCGAAGTTGGCCCAACTAAGGAAACTGCAAGCAGTGGGACAAAAGTGGGTGGGTCCGACTGTGGTAGATGAGAAGCATAGATAACTGTTATGTTAAAAGTTCAAGTCTGATCAGCCAACTGACTAGCTTAAGAACGGTTACACAAGTGAGTCAATCATCCCTAATGCGAAATAGAACGAGAGCAACAGAGAGCGACAGAAATACTTTGAAGAAATGCACCTAAGTGATGAAATAACTCACAAAGAAAGGATTAAAGCACCAGCAATGTAACAAAGTGATCAAGCACAAACATTCTAAGGAAGCAGGCCATAAAATTAGTGAAAAATAGCCAAAATAGAGAAGATATCCTCTATATAGCAAAGTACCAAGTACTTGAAAAAGAAAACAGGCAGAATGCTTCATTGCGGACACACCGGTATGAAGAAATGATTCACAGAACGAATTGGACTCGAGACGCCTGATGTCGAATGCATTATGCAGCATCCACATAGAAGCTCACAGCCTCTTCCTTGAGCCTTTGAACGGCTTAATCAGCCTCGCGCGCTGGAATTTCCACATCTTCGCCGCAGTGGAAAATCAAACGATCTGCAATTAGTATCTCAACCTAGAATCTTTCCTAACCACACATTCAGAACTTACTAAGAAAGGGTCAATTGCTCAGGCCGACCATTTTTGTAATGAGGTGTAATCCTATGCAGCTCCACTACGCGCTACGCTGAGCTCAAACAAGTTTTCAATTTTTGCCGAGCGATTCTCTGAGCGAAGTTACGAGAGATTCTTCTCACGTAGCTGTCACTGTGGCGCCCTCTACTCTCCCTCGCTTAAGGTGAGCCGGAGAGCAAGCATGGCAGTGAGACTGCTGGGGTAGTAGGTAGCGCTCCTGCTTTATGTCTGAGAGGTCACATGTTCAAGACCTTAGCCACGACAAATTTTTGCATTTTGTCAGGGCTCCTCATACCTGCCTAGAAAGCCTTTGTGATTGGTTAATTTGTTGACATGTGTCGCGACTTCGCACGATCTCAAGCAAATATGCTCCAAGGCCATGTGCGGGACGATGCTGCAACGCGCACAGTCAGACTGAGCGTGGACTGTGATAGCACGGACTCCTGGCTGTTCAATGCCTTCAAATCGCCTGCGAAGTTCATTATCAGTCGGCATGACGAAATCGGGCTGAACAGACGCTCGATTCGTCTCGCTTCGGCCCTCGAAACCTTTCTCCCCCCCCCCGTCGGCTTGTTCTAGCTTTTTGTTACATCGTTAGCTTAGGGCGGACCTCGCATTGGCCCCTATTATCCTCTACTCGCTTTATATCCAATTAGTAATACTTGCTTAACTTTATAATAGTAACCTCGTAGCCAGAGTTCCCCCCCCCCATTGTTCCCTAATAGTACAGTGCGTTTCAAAAGTATAAAGCCACCCATGAAAACTAACTTTCCGAGTTAAGGTGAGTATTTCATGGCTTGCCATAAACTTTATTGAATTCAGCGTGTTTGGAAACCATTGTTCTCTTTATTTCAGGAAACAAAATGATTCACATACATTTTTATAAGAAGATTTCCAAATATCCCCTGTTTCAAAAGTATAAAGCCACTTGCAACATAACTCTATTTTTCCAGAGAAAAAGTGAACATCGTAAATATTAGTAACTAGCGTGACTTCCTTTTTTAGAAGTGAGATTTAATAGACCATTTGGCATACTATCCGTGAGCTTCAGAAGTATAGCGGGATTCAGGTGGTAGGAAAACGTCTCGATGGCTGTCTGAGGTCTCCCACGTTACTGTACTGCTTTCCATACGCGTATATCTGTCGGACAATGATACCCCAGGTGTTTTTATTGGATTTGGATCTAGGCTGCTAGCAGGCCATTCCAGTACACTGATTTTGTTGACGTAAACCCGGTGTTGAGTGGACCGGCTGCGATGGATGGTGGCGTAATCGTGCATAAAGATGAAGTTTTGCCGACGACTTCCACACAGAAACGAGAGAAGATCATTAAGAAAAGCATCCTGATTCTCACTGGGGTCCATTTGACACGAGACGAAAGACAGAGGGAGCACAGCATCGCTGTAGAATGCAGCTCAGACCATCTATGCGCCACCACCGAAGTTTCTCCTGCTAAATACCAGCGGATCTTTGCTAAAATCTCTCCAGAATCTGTGATGACCATCCGGCCCGTCTAAGTTGAAGTT